GCACTCCAATGTGAAAAGGCAGTCACAGTCCAGCTTATTGCACTCCTATGTGAAAAGGCAGTCATAGTCCAGCTTATTGCACTCCAATGTGAAAAAGCAGTCATAGTCCAGCTTATCATCAACCGCTCCACATTCCAAGCTCCCGCAAAAATATAAAATAAGACCGTAGACTGTGCAACAACACGCAGTACCTCCGAGCACGACTCGATTACAAAAAGCCCGTAAAGCAGTGCAAAACAACTGAGGAGAAGAATTTTAGACCGTAAAACTCAGTAAAGATCGTCGTAAACAGTCTACGCAGGGTTGCTGCTTGCTTGAGAGACTGCTTGTAGTTAGGAAAAAGTCGCTCTCACCTTTGTGTCGCGCCGCCATTGTCTTCCCAAGTAGTGGCAAAGAAGTGCCTGGAAGCGACAAAAAAGAAAAAAGAAAAAAAAGAGCAATCACACACAGAGGCCAAAATTATCCAAAGGCCAAACTGAAAGGCAAAGACTGGAAAGGACAAGTAAATCAAAATATCGCATAACCAGGTCACAACAGGTCACACACGTATCGAAAAGCCCAGAAAAAAAAGAGCCAACATGTACTAACCAGCCATAATATGTGCATTCACTACATGTAATTCTCTGTGCCCAAGCGCTTCTGTTTCGGTGAATTTTCGGGGAACTTTCAACGAATTTTCGATCGAGCAAAATTCCTCACTTCCACATTACCAAAATAATAATCAGTTCAGAGCCCAATCGAACCACCTGACAGGTTTAAACCCTTGCCAACCATAGGGGGGGGTCATCACAGGGCTCTGCATCCATGTTCCCCTGAGAAGAAACACATCCTCTCACCTGCGCATCTGCCTCTCTCTATCACACCACAACCTGCCAATACACGGCCTTCGGCCTTGACATACCTTCAGTCGGCGTACCTTTAGCCTACATACCTTTAGTCTCTTCTCTTATCAACCCATAATAAAGAGCACATAACTGTGATGACCATTCCAGTGTGAAGCAATCAAGATAGCTCAACCACTCACAATTGTGAGGCTCCAGACCTCGGCGTGGCCCAACATCACCGCCCATGGAAATGCAGCCAGGCCGCCCTAAATGAGCGCAGGCCTGATAAAATGTCGACAGGGCTGCAGGGGAGAGTTCTGGGCCTGAGAATAGGCACCAACCCCTGTAAGTAACCGGTATGCACAGCCTCCAGTTTGCAGCTCGTGGCGGATGCGTTATACACCCCAGGGCCCAGGCAGGTTTTTCCATCATTGGGTATACGGGTTGTCCATAGGCCCCAAGCGGTCGTTGCAACGGCGACAAAATAGGTGGCTGAGGGGTTCTGCCAGTTGTTTTCATCAGGAGGACAGGTCGCAAGAGAGCTCTTGACTCTCTGGCGACCTGTTGTCTTTCCAAAACGAAGGGTTGCAGGGGTTGGGGCGGAGGCTTGCATGTCACCCGGCCTACGTAGGCTTGCAAACTTCAACCAAGCTGGCCTCCTGTTGGACCTCAACCTTGTTCTGAATGTGCACCCATGTCTGCACCCTATTCACAAAGAGGAGTTGCAAAACAGTATGGAGGAACCAGCGGCTCAGCACCTCTCTCTCTCTTTGTGTGAGTGTGAGTGTGTGTGTGTGTGTGTGTGTGTGTGTGTGTGTGTGTGTGTGTGTGTGTGTGTGTGTGTGTGTTTTAGATTTTCCCCACAACAGCCCCAATTCCACCCAGGCGTATAGATTCAGAATCAAAGCAGTCTTTGTCCTATTGCAGACAACGAGAGCATTTGAGATGTCCAACATATTAAAGCAATTTTATAATTAGACAGTTTTTTGGTTGTCCTTGGGGTACCCCTTTCATTGTTCTTGCAGCTCCCCTTTTACTGTGCCTCTTACGCACGAGGCTTCCCACGTTGATTGTGGTTGAGCAGCAGCTGCCCACATCCCCATGTGCCTTCACGGCCCACTTGCACGTTATTTCAGGAGGCAGAGTAAMAGGGAAGGTATGCTCCTGTGCATCTCTTCAGAGCTTCATACTCCTGTTCATTTCACTTCAGATCTTCATCTTATACAGTCTTTGTGTCCGTCCTTCATCTTCATACTTCCGTTCATTTCATTTCTGATCTTCATATCGTCTATACTCTTAATGATGCTCATTATGTATTTGTTAGTAGTACAAGGGGAGTGGAGGGTAAGGGGTAGAAGGCGGAGTTCTCAAGGAGTATGGGGCAGGGGAGGTAGGGGCAACAGGAGGGCAAGATAAGAGTATGACATGCAAAGAGCAGGGGAAAGGTGTATGACGGGTTTCACAGATTTCTAAATATTCACCGCTGAAGCAGACTTCTAAAAAAAAAAAAAAAAAAAAAAAACTATGGTGAGTGGCCACCCCTACAGACCGGGCAGGACCGGTTCGGGTGTGGGCTATGAAAGCACCGCATCCAATTTTCACTGTCACAGTTGCTGCATCGATTGGCACGGCGCAGACAGATGTCACAGTGTGTGTGTTGTTAAAGCAACCCAAGTTCTCTCTCTCATTTCCTCGACAAATCATAACAAACCATCCATGACCAAAAAAGTGTAGATGGACAATATAATAGAAAATGCAAGGTTGGCCATGTTTGCGTGACAGACTTTACTCCATCGACAAAACAGCCCATGCTGCAAAGCAGGGCAAAGAATTAGGCCATGTACAGAAAAGAAAGAAACCAACAAAACACATCCATGCACAGAGAAAGAGCTCGCTAATACGATCCCAATCCTAACCGCTCAAATCTGCCAAGAAAGAGAGGTAGCGTGTGTGAGACGAGTGCAAGAGAAATGAGCAATAGCGAGATGACAATGTCCAGCAACGTACCTCATATGTAAGAAGTAATGAAGAGGGTGGATAAGGAAGACAGCAACGTACCTCATAATGCTGCCCCCAACCACAGATTTCTCACCAGCAACCTAATGTGCA